TTTCTTTCTATTTATAGTAGAGACGGGTCTCACTCTTGCTCAGGCTGGGTTTCGAACTCCTGACCTTGAGCGATCCTCCACTCCAGCCTCCAGAGTGCTGGGATGACAGGTCGTGAGGCACTGCGCCGGCCCGAAAAGAACCTTCTACACTCACGTCTCATAACCATGTCATCTGTGAATTCAATCTCCAGAAGACACCCTAGGCTGATTTCAGGGTTTGTTATGTTTTTTTTTAGAGTCGGTGCAACATCTGCACTGATTCAAACCACAGTGAAGTCCGTCTCTTCCTGGAACATCATCCCTCACTCATCCAGCCCGAATCCCATCCTGAATTCTTGTGACTCTGTTTCCTCTAGAGCCACCGGCCCCGATCTCTCTGTCGAGCACTAGAGCCCTCAAGGGCGGATGAGAAGGGCTGCTAAGTGTTCATTTCCGCTCCGTGACGACACGTAATGGGTTGTGCTAGATGCGCTGGCGCCAGCACGCCTGTCAACCAGGGCTGAATTTTCATAGCCACGCCCATCACTGGGGGTGAATTTTCATAGCACGCCCACCACTAGGGGTGATTTCATAGCCACGCCATCAAGCTGATTTTCATTAGCACGCCCGTCCACTGGGCCGATTTCATAGCCACGCCCATCGCTAGGGCTTGATCTTCATGCCCGCCAACCCACTAGGGCTGAATTTTCGGGGTGGGGCTTCTATTGTGCACTGCTTACACATCCTGCTAGGGCTTATTATGTAGCTAATTTTCGGGAAACACGGTAGTCATGCTGTGTTGCTGCTAAGGACTTAGTTAACAACACAGAATTTCATGGAAAAAGTAGAGGAGGCATTTGGCATTTGCAGCGAACTTGTTTCATTTATCCATAATTGCCATTTCCCATTATGAATAACCTTCTTGGGAAAGCATCTCTTTCCATGGGTGCAGTAAAAGATAACGTAAGAAGACACTTTATCTACTTCTGTCCTAGTTCTTGTGAACACATTTAATGCCATTTCTTCCGTACCTCCTCCCCCCCAAAAAAAATCAGACTAAAATCATATATGACCAAACATGAAATACGTTGCCCACCTGCTTTCTGCATCACGTTCTCGTGAAATGACCTTAACCTTTTGCTGTTACTTATGCCATTAGATCGAACCGTGGTGCTCGGGAAAGCCATTATATTTCTGCAAGCCTGAATGAGTCTCGTTTCCTGAGTCCACTCTGCAAGTTGTGGTGACTGCTTATGACGTTGCCAATTTGCTGTCAGCTATTGGCAGGAATTAAGGGTCCTCCCTCGCAAAAAGCAAAAGTGAAGCATCGCTGTGGGTTTTGTAGTAAATCTGGCGTTAGAGGGGTTAGCTGTTGAGTTACTTGGCAGGTCAGTGCTGCCAGGGGACCTTGGTTTGTGAAAGCTGCTCAAAAGATGGTGGCAATCATAAAGACTTTGTCTGGTGTGAAGGCTGGAGACTCAGTCAAGATAGTTTTTTCAATGTCAGTTAGAGTTGTGCATAGCGTTACTTAAATATCATGTGCCAATCATCCCGCCCTTCCTTACTGCTTTAAAAAAAAAAAAAGAAGAAAGAAGAGGAAATGGCAAGGTGTGTGCTCACCGGCTGTTCGTCCAGCATTTGGGAGGCTTGAAAGGGTGGAGGCGCTGGACGGGAGTTGGAGGCTGCAGTGAGCTATAATCAACCGTTGCATTCTGCCTGCAATAGAGCAAGACCTGCTCTTTAAATAAATAGATAAAAGGTAGAAGTTATAACCTGGTGCTTTGCAAAAGAGCACCTTGAAAATCTTTTGTTTTTGGGATAAACTTGTTAGTGGTTTGAGAATGAAATGTGGAAAACGGTTTTGGTGCTTCTTGTCCTAGAATCAAAGACGGAGTCATTTCCTGTTTTGTGTTGGACAGACGAGATGTTGTCCTTTTGTTTATGGATCAGGCCATTCGAGAGTTGGCAGATCTAAGGAAAGGGCCAACAATGCTATCTGGCTTTTCCATCAGCACGCTGTGTTAATACCATAATTCTTTTTTCTTTTGTTTTTTTTTGAGAAGAGTCTCGCTGTTGTTGCCCAGGCTAGAGTTGGATGCCGTGGGCGTCAGCTCGCTCACAGCAACCTCCAACTCCTGGGGTTCAAGCGATCCTCCTGCCTCAGCCTCCTCCGGCAGTAGCTGGGCACTACAGGCATGGCGCCAACCATGCCCGGCTAATATTTTTCTAGTAAATATTAGTTGCCAATTATTTATTTCTGTTTTAGTAGAGGACGGGTCTCGCTCTTGCTCAGGCTGGTCTGAATCCTGACCTTGAGCGATCCTCTCCTGGCCCTCGGCCTTCCCAGAGCTGCTGGGGATGACAGGCGTGAAGCCACCTCGCCCAGCTACTGATGGCATTATCTTCGGGGACTTGTGCATCCTCGGATTTTGGTATCCGGGAAAGTTCTAGAATCAGTCTGTGCCCCAGATCGGAGGGAAGGCCGTACTTACCATTTTTATCGCTTGTTTTCCTCACTGGACTCCACTCTGCCCCCTCTGAGTTCACCATGCCCATCCTCAACTCCCAGCTCAGTACCTGGCATTTAGTAGGATGAATGAATGAATGAGAGAATGAATGAATGAATGAACAAATCAATTACTGGAATAGGAAAAATTATTTTCCCCTCTGGAAGGAGGAGTCTGGGATTAGGTTGGGACTTGTTGCTTCTCTCCTGGGACTTTAGGGTTTTTTTTTTGTTTTTTTTAATTTGTTTGTTTTTTCTGGCATGCAATGAATCCAGGTGTTCTGCCCTGTATATAATTTATTCAGGTTCTTCTGAATTTGCCGGACAGTTTCACATAATTTGGCTTCATGTGTGTCCCCCACCCTACCCCCGGGCTGGGGAGTTTCCCAAAATGAAGTGGTTTATTAGGACTATGCCTTCAAGGAAACAAGAAATGAGAGACTAATGATCAAATTACGTGACAAATGACTGCCGTGGGCAGAATGCAAGCTTCTCTTCCTTCAGGGGCTGGTCTTTATAATAAAGAACTTCTGTCTTTATTTGCCAGGTAATTACTGTCAGTGCCTCTTGAAGTTACAGAAAAAGAATAAGGACACATTTAACAATGCGTGAGTCAGGGAGGAAGCATGCTGAACCACACAAAGCTTGATTCCCCAAATGCAATCAAATGGCAGCAGGAAAGTTTTTAAAAGAGATCACATTGTATATACCTTCTCTGTCTCACGTAGTCTGTTTCTCATACACGCTAGGTACTCGGATAGCTTTTCCCCTGTATGCTACTATGCACGTTTTTTTCCTCTTACATTTTATTTTATTTTATTTATTTTATTATTTTATTTTATTTTATTTTTATTTTATTTATTTTATTATTTTATTTTATTTATTTATTTTATTTATTTTTTAATTTATTTATTTTATTATTATTTTTTATTTTATTGTATTTATTTTATTTTTTTATTTTATTTTTTAATTTTATTTTATTTATTTAATTTTATTTTTTATTTTATTTTATTTTATTTGAGACAGAGTCTCACTCTGTTGCCCGGGCTAGAGTGAGTGCCGTGGCGTCAGCCTCGCTCACAGCAACCTCCAACTCCTGGGCTCAAAGCCATCCTCCTGCCTCAGCCTCCCGAGGTAAGCTGGACTATAGGCATGCGCCACCACGCCCGGCTAAGTTTTTCTATTTTTTTTTTTAGTTGTTTGGCTAATTTCTTTCTATTTATAGTAGAGACGGGGTCTCACTCTTGGCTTCAGGCTGGTTTCGAACTCCTGACCTTGAGCGATCCTCCCACTCCCAGCCTCCAGAGTGCTGGGATGACAGGCGTGAGCCACCGCGCCCGGCCCGAAAAGAACCTTCTTACACTCACGTCTCATACCCATGTCATCTACGAAATTCCTATTCTGTGGGAAAGTCTTAAAAACTGTTTTTCTTCCTAATCCATCAAATACTATAGGAATACATTCTCATGATTGACAATAAAAAAAGTCAGGCAAAAGGTACTAAAAATTTCTATCAATGCTACCTCTCTCTTAAAACTGTTACTAGTTTTGTGTGTGTCCTTCCAGAGCTGCTTCTATGCACATGTGTATTCGTGCACGTATGTGCACACTGCCGTGGGACTGGCGTGTGCAGTTTTTGTTGCTGTGTGTGTTTACCTTGTGTGCATCCTTCTTTTGTCACTCAGCTATGTGCATTAGACGTCCCCACGTCGCCGTAGGTGGCTGTATCTCCTTTCCACCCCTGCACAGAAGTCGAGCATATGATAGGGCCATGTGCATTTCCTTTTTAAAATCTATTACGGCCGGGCGCGGTGGCTCACGCCTGTCATCCCGGCACTCTGGGAGGCCTAGGCGGGAGGATCGCTCGAGGTCAGGAGTTCGAGACCAGCCTGAGCAAGAGCGAGACCCCCGTCTCTACTAAAAAATAGAAAGAAATTAATTGGCCAACTAAAAATATTTATAGAAAAAAATGAGCCGGGCATGGTGGCACATGCCTGTAGTCCCAGCTACTCGGGAGGAGGCTGAGGCAGGAGGATCGCTTGAGCCCAGGAGTTGGAGGTTGCTGTGAGCGAGGCTGATGCCATGGCACTCTAGCCCAGGCGACAGAGTGAGTTAGACTCTGTCTCCAAAATAAAATAAAATAAAATAAAATAAAATAAGATAAGATAAAAAAATAAAATAAATAAAAAAAATAAAATAAAATAAATTCAGAAAGTTCTTCTCGCTCAAAAAAAAAAAAAAACAACCCACCAACACCTCATTTTGAAGTGTCCCTTATATCTCAGCAGTTATTTTTTCCATGCATGATGGTATCAGCCGCCCACCCTGCAACCTGCACCCTAACACCCCCACCAAAAACACTCCTCCTGTCGTTACCCCAAATCACGCCGGTTCTCCAAGGCCAAGGCGGGCGTCGGTGGGTCGGGGAGGAGGCTGCGGTCTCTGCCCGTGCGCACCGGGAAAACAGCCGTGCAGAGCGTGTGAAGACGTGCCTGTCCCCCCGTCTGTCCCCCAGCAGGCGTTCCGGAAGAGCGTGCAGCAGATGCTGCAGAGCCTGGTCCGCAAGCTGGCCGCGCTCAGCCAGTACGAGGAGGTCCTGGCCAAGGTCGGCTCCACGGCCGCCGACCGGCTCGCCGTGCTCAAGAGCAAGCCGCTGTCCGTGCAGAGGGACATCACCGCCGTCTGCAGCGACCCCTACACGCTGGCCCAGCAGCTGACCCACGTGGAGCTGGTGAGTCCCCGGCCGCCCTCCTGCCCTTGGCCACGCAGGTGCGGGTTGCCTTGGCAACCAGACAGGGGCCATCTGTCAGCGGGAGAGGCCTGAGCCACATCCAAATGGGAAACCGTCTACGGAGACGCCGTGTTTTCCTCCCAAAATAAGGCAGGGTCTTCTAATTATTTTTCCTCCAGAAGACACCCCATGGCTTATTTTCAGGGGGTGTGTTATTTTTTTTTTTTTAAGTACGGTACAACCATCTACACTGATTCAAATACAGTGAGGTCCTCTTCTTCTGGAACATCATCCTCACTCTCCAGACCCCGAATCCCATCCTGAATGTCTTGTGACTCTGTTTCCTTTAGAGCCACCGGCCCCGATCTCTCCTGTCGAGCACTAGAGCTCTCACGGGGCGGATGAGAAGGGCTGCTCGTGTTCTTTCCCGCTCCGCGACGACACGCATGGGTTGTGCAGATGCGCTGCGCAGCCACGCCCGTCACTAGGGCTGATTTTCATAGCCACACCCCTAACTAGGGCTGATTTTCATGGCCACGCCCATCACCTGGGCTGATTTTCATAGCCACGCCCACCACTAGGGCTGATTTTCATAGCCACGCCCCTCACTAGGTCTGATTTTCATAGCCACGCCCACAACTAGGGCTGATTTTCATAGCCTCGCCCATCACCAGGGCTGATTTTCGGGGTAGGGCTTCTATTGCGCACGTGCTTAGACATCCTGCCTGGGCTTATTTGATGGGCGGGTCTTATTTTGGGGGGAAACACGGTAGCTAAACCACAGTCTGTTTAGGCATTTGCATAGGAATGCTTCTCATAATCCCTAGAATCCCCTTGCAAATAAATATTAGACACGTCTAAAGAGCAAAGAGGTTATTGACCTTCATCATCTTCTGCCTCTGATCAATTTTCCCGTGACTCACTGAGTCTTTCCTCATTAGCATTTGGAGTATTGGCCTCGCCAGAAAAATTGCTTCTGTTCAAACCCTGGAGATGATGAAGGTGTTTAGGGTGAAAGGTTTAATTTTGTTATCTGCATTAAAAAAGAAAAAATGAGGGTGGGTGGGGGCCACAAGTCAATAGAGAGGGGATTGCGAGGGTCCGTTTCTTCTCATTTTCGCTAATGCTTTCGGCCCGTGGATTTTTCCATTCCAGGAGCGGCTCAACTACATTGGGCCGGAGGAGTTTGTCCAGGCATTCCTGCAAAAGGACCTTTTGGATAATGACAAGGTAACTGGTCTACCCTAGAGCTCAGCCCCGAAGCCAGAAATAGAATCCATTGCTTAGCCTGGGACAGTGGGTATAAAAGACAGCATTGGAAACTATTCTGTTTTAGCTTTTTTTTAAAATTTATTTTTTATATTTTTTGAGACAGAGTCTCGCTCTGTCGCCCGGGCCGGAGTGCCGTGGCGTCATCCTGGCTCACGGCAACCTCCAATTCCTGGGCTCAAGCGATCCTCCTGCCTCAGCCTCCCGAGTAGCTGGGACTACAGGCATGTGCCACCATGCCCGGCTGATTTTTTCTATATATATTAGTTGGCCAATTAATTTCTTTCTATTTTTAGTAGAGATGGGGAGGGGTTCTCGCTCTTGCTCAGGCTGGTCTCGAACTCCTGACCTCGGGCGATCCTCCTGCCTCGGCCTCCCAGAGTGCCAGGATTGCAGGCGTGAGCCACCGCGCCCAGCCTTGTTTTATGTTTTAAACTCAGAAAAGTCAGCAACGTCTGACTCCTTGCAACTTTTCTTGGGGTCTCCGAGCGCCTTCTCCATGTTCTCTCACCCCATCGCCAAGCCTCCTCTTCCTCTTCATCGGGGAAAATTTAATTAAGACCTGTCGAAAAGGTCGATCCAGGCAGTGGTGGTGACTGAAGGTAGGAGATAAAAGGATCACGATCGTTCTGGCAGATTGTCAAGTCGGAGGGAAAATAAAAGAGGATGCTTTTGCTCGCGATTCAAAAATAGCAGAGGCAGGATGCACGTCCTGCAGGCCGGGCTGCTTGGCCTCTTGTTTTAAGGCTCATCCCTCCTGATGCATTTAGTGTCTGGGTGAAGCCTGCCCGTCAAGGTGGTGGCACTGAGCCCGGACT